GGCAGTGGCACTAAGGGGGGAGGGCAGGTGGAACTGTGTCTTTTGATGGGAGACCACAGTCAGAGCAGATTAGAGCAAGGGGAAACTGGTCCCTCGAGGGACCTAATCAAGCTGTCAGTGGTCCCTAATGTGGAAGTCACTTGCAGTTTTTGCTGCAGCACCACAAACACACTAATGTTTTGACAGGCTGGGGCAGTGCTTGTCATCTGAATATCGTGAGTTTGTGTGAAAGATCCTATCCCACTTTTAAAGAATTTGGCCTCTGCACCTTGTTGACAGCACGTAAATGTTTCAGTGCTGTCCAAATGCAAGTAAATAAATGCAGAAGGCTGAGGCTACATCGTAGGTATGCTGCTGTTACCTAGCACCCAGAGAAATTAGTTTTGTTGGACAAAAAATGGAAACGCCAGCCAGGATATTTTGCTTCAGTTTAGCTTGTTTGCTGGAATTACTTGTGGTTAGTAATGAGCACAAGGTTCACTTGTAATAATAATGTAACCATGGTAATAAGATAACACAAGCTGCTGCCAGGCTGATTTGCTGATAAGATTTATACCCTGTTATATTATCCAATGCAATTAAGAAATGCTCAGAAAATTAACATTAGAATAGATTAAAATAAAGTATCAGAGGTGTAGTGGCAGCTGTGGGTCTTAAGCATGGTCCCAAAGTGGACCTGTCACTGTGCATTCGATGGGCTGTGTTTCAATGAGCAAGGAAAGGGTTTGCTTTCATTTTCCAAGCAGGGAATTGTCATGTTCCTCAATTCTTGCAATTTATGGCACTCATTTTAGTGTGGCAGGTCAGAAATGAACCTTGGAAAAGCAACAAGTGTTAGTTGGCCTCGTTTAATCTAAACTGAATTGGAAGATCAGCAGGGGTGGAAGAGGGAAAGACAAATGTATGAGTTGGGATATAGGGGTTCACTCCTAGTAGGAAGGAAAGGAATGGTGAGATGAGGGTCAGAAACTCTTTCCCCTTGCCTGAGTGTTTGGGATTCACTGTCTATCATGCCAACCACTACTTTCTCAAAGCTCCTTTTTATATTACCAGAGGCAGCCACTTAGTCTTTCTTGTCTTGTAAACTCAGAGGGGCAGGGACCATCTCTTCATTCCCTATATGTGAAATGTGAAGAAACACAGCATTTCTGCCACTTAATATAATCATAAGAGCTGAGCTGGGATAATCATAAGAGATGAGCCATTTCATAACCGCCTCTGTACCAGACAGAATTACATCTCTCACAACATCCTAGCAACAGAGCTCCTCAGTCATCAGCTCTTCTCCTTCCTTGCAGATAACTCACTGCATCCCCTCTTGCTACATTTGAGTTTAGGATGGGGAATCTGGGATTATTTGTTTGGGGAGAATTTCAGCTGATGAAGGAATTTCAGTGGAGGAATAGCAACCTCACAAAGGAGTATAAGAGCAAGTCCTTCAGCTGTTGCCATAAGCCAGGAGAGGAGTGGTAGACAATTCTGGACTTGGAGACTTTTTTCATCTGCGAGTCCTATTACTCAGCCCTTGCTAAGAGTTTTGAGATGTTTGGTTTGCTGAGATAGAGGCCTCCAGACGTTGTCCAGTCAGAGTTAATATGGGGATTGGGGCCTCCCTCTTGTCTCAGACTGGTTTTTCATGGGGATGATCAACTGTGGTGTGAATGAGAGAGGAGAAACCCATCTTAGTCTCTTGTTCTTTCTATGCTTAAAATACCTGCTTTACTTAAGGACAATACCTATCAAAGACACCCTTTCCTCCATCTCCTCACCTTATTGTCCTCTTTTGCCTCTGTCTTTCATCCATATTCTACCACCTATTGCTGGACTTTTTCTCTCACTGCTTATGAGCTCTTTATTTTGTTGTTTTCCTGAGTAAATTAAAGGGTCTGTATTTTTTTGGTCATTCTCTTTGCTCCTTCTACTGCCTTCACACCCTGCCTTTCCAGGCTCTCCCTCCCCTTGTCTCCACGACCTACGCTCTGCTGAGCTGCATCCTGGCTCTCAAATAGTCTCTGTGGCCCTCCCCTCACTTGTTTTGTCTTAGGTCACACCTTGCTTTCCTTCTATTATTCTCATAAACTGACATTTCTTGCTGGCTGCTCACTCACACATCTCTTCCCATGCTGTCCCACTGCTTCTCTGGCACCTTATTCCTTCCTCTACGGGGAGAAACCTGGCTGGCTCTTCATCAGATCCTCCTTCCCTTCCTCTGCTGATTCTGTCCACACAGTGAGCCTGGTTCAGTTGAAGCTGAGTTCTCCTCTCCACATGATGTAGGGAGTTAACTGTTGTGGCAGTTTTTGTGTTTCTTTTCCTTCCTGGAACTGATGCACTGTGAAGGATGAACACAGGAGTGCCAGCAGGGAGTCCAGGAGACAAGCAGCACCTTACATTCCTCAGAGTGGAAGAGGTGACTTGGGAGGGAGGAATTGGACTGAAATCTACCAGGTGATAAGTGGTAAAACAAAAAAATCTGAACCTTAAGACAGATTTTCTGTAGCTTTATTTTTCTTTATTTTTGAAGCAATGCCTACACTGTACAGTGCACAACAGCTCAGAAAGAGCTGAAGTAGCTTTGCATAAATATTGCATGAAGCTTTGTGTACAAATGCACACGAGGCACAGAGCTATATGCAAAACCTGGCTAGAAAGGGTGAAGAAAAATGTGGAAGCCTCTGCTTCCATATCTGGAGAGCTTCTGGTAACCGTTTGGGAAAGTAACTCTGCACTGCAATACAGCTTTCAGCACAAATATGCTCCGAGGTGCTGTGAGCCAAGCCCCACGTAGGAGCAAAAGCCATGGAGACGATTTTTAGGTCAGCAGGGATGGCCTAAAGGTTGTGGGGCAGGGGCTGAACCTACTTCTGGGCCTCTTATGGGCCCAGATACATTAAAATGAGTAGAGAGACAGTGGTCCTGTATGGGACTTATTTTTTATTTCCAGTTTTCCTTAGCAGCCTCAGGCAAACCTTTGCCCTTGGGGCATCCCTTGTCCTTTCAGTGTTTGTCCCTTCGCTCTGTGGCTCCAATTTCATGGGCTCTTGAATCTGGCAGGAGTGACATTGCTCCCCAAAGAAGTGGCCTTGCCTTCTCTGGCTGCTTATTCCTGTGCTGCCACACTTCCACCTTTTGCTGGCAGATCAGGAGCCAGGAGAGCAAAGCAGGTATGGATTTACCAAGCCGTAGGGGCTGCACTGAGGACCTGCATCCACACTGCATGGATTTCAAGGGCATTACTCTGGGCTAGTAGTATTCTCATCCCACAGACTGAATGTCCATTAGTGAGCATCCATTGGTGGTTAGAGTGCTTTAGGAGTGCTCTCTTCTTCTGCTTTTGTTTCCCCCACAAATCAGCTCAGTTCATTTGTTCTCAGCCCCCTCTGTGATGCGAATCACAGCTGGAATGATCTGGAGAGACCCTTCAAAAAGTCACTCCCAATCCAAACTAAAAGATGACCGTAGATGCCCTGTGCTGACATGGCTTGGGGTGAAGCAGCTCTGGGAAGAGATCCAAAGGAAAAAGAAATGGCGTTGGCTTCAGCTTCAACCATCCTCTGAGCATGTGCTCTCACCTACATTTGGGAGGGACCGAGGGCTGGTTATAAGCTGCGAGAGGAATTGGATCTCCTTTATTGAAAGCATTTTACATTGGTTTAAGACTGTGAAGTGAGGATCTTTGTCAGCTGTGGGCTCTCAGGACAAGGGCCAGCACCTACAGCAGGTAAGGTGGGTGTACGACACGCCACTATATATTGTGTGCTGAAAACAGCATGGGACCGGGGAGACAAATTTCATCTGAGACCTGTCACAAACACTCTTCTGAGGAACAGGGGATAGAGCATTTCATTATGCTCATAATGTCCGTGAGAGCTGCTGTACGGTGGGCTCACATCTTCCCAAACAACCCCTTTGTTGTGAAGGGCTCCCTCAATGCCTGTTTCTGCCTCTTCCATTTCTCCCCCTCAGTACACATCTGCAACTCAATTTTTGCTCTATTTTGATACTAACATTTTTCTGTGCGTTTTTTTTTTTTTCCCTTCAGCATCTGCATTCCACCCCCCTGCCTCTTTCCACCACATGCCCATTGAAAACCTAATTGCAGATCCCTTGCTGCAATTAGTCTATGTGCTGCTACGAAGTTCAGTTCATTGTGGCTTTTTTTTGGCTACTTCACCCAAACGGGCTTTGAAGCAACACCTCGCTGGTGCTTTAATCCCGGTGCCTGTGCTGTGGTCAGCACCCCGGTGTAAGGATGGTCATGTTCTCCTCTGCTTCCCACCTTTCCCTGCCCTCTCCACACACCCTCACCTCCTCATGACAGGATCTTTTCTCCCCAGATGCACCATTTACACTCCTGTTTTGGATGTGTCGGTCTGTATAAGCAGCATTTGGCTTTAAACTGACACAAGGCATGTTTAGATCAGATATTAGTAAGAAATTCTTGACTGTGAGAGTCGCGAGGTGCTGGCACAGGTTGCCCAGAGAAGCTGTGGCTGCTCCATCCCTGGAAGTGTTCAAGGCCAGGTTGGACGGGGCTTGGAGCAACCTGGTCTAGTGGAAGGTGTCCCTGCCTGTGGCACGGGAGTTGGAACTGGATAGTCTTTAAGGTCCCTTCCAATCCAAATCATTCTGTGATTCTACAATCACAGTTCCATCGTGATTCTACGATGCCCTGTGAATACGCCGTGCAAGGCTCCAGAGGTCAGATTCTGGGGAGGTCAGCGGTTTGCACCCCCGCGCACCCCACCTTCCCGGGGCGAGCGGACGACGGAGGTGAGAAAAGCAGGAGACAAGGAGGAAAAGGAGGAGAAGGACGACGAGGAGGAGGAGGGCGATCTCGGGCGTGGATCCTCCGCCGGGCGGGGAGGAAGGCGGGAGGGAAGGAGGGCAGGAGGGCTGGAGGCGGGCGGTGGGCGGGCGCGGGGCGGTGGCAGGCGGGGAGGGAGCCGGGCGCCCCGCGGACCATTCGCGACCGGCGGCGGCGGCAGCGGTGGCGGCAGCGGGGCTTTGAGCGGCGCCGGGCCCCCCGCGGGCAGCGCTGTCAGCGGCGGCCGCCCCCTCCCCGGACATGAAGCCGAGCCCCGCGGGCGCCGCGCCGGCGGCGGGGCCGGCACCGGGAGCGGCACCGGGAGCGGCACCGGGAGCGGCACCGGGAGCGGCACCGGGAGCGGGGGGACCCGCCGGGGCACCGCGGGAGCCCGATGCGCGCTGGAGGGAGAAGGGCGAAGCGGAGGCGGAGCGGCAGCGCACCCGGGAGCGGCTGGAGGCCACGCTGGCCGGGCTGGGCGAGCTGGAGTACCTGCGGCAGCGCCAGGAGCTGCTGGTGAAGAGCCTCCTGCTGCGGCGGCCGGCGGGAGCGGCGCCCGGGGCGCAGGGCGGCCGCGGGGACGCGCCGGGAGAGGGGCCGCCGCCGCGCAGCCTGGAGGAGAAGTTCCTGGAGGAGAACATCCTCCTCCTGCGGAGGCAGCTGGTGAGCGGGGGCGGGGGGCGCCGGGGGATGCGGGCGGGGAGCGCCGGGGGATGCGGGAGAGGAACGCCGAGGGATGCGCGGCCGCTCGGCCCCGCGTGTCGGTGTGACCCGCGGGTCCTGCCCGTGGAAGGGCGAGGAAGGAGCCGGGGACCCCCTCGGGGAGCGCCCCCGCCCCGCTGTCACGGCGCAGGGGAGGCGGCGGGCCGGTGACAGCTCGGGAGGGAACGGGTCTTACCGGCGTTTTGCCGGTGGCCGCACAGTTCTCTTCGGTTCCCGGAGCCAGACCGGCGGTCCCACTTCCATTCAAGGCAAGAGAGGCGCTGCCGTTGCCATGAATGGAAGTTGGGAGCCAGCTCCCGCGTCCCAGCCCCGACCGGAGGTTCCGAGCGCTCGGGCACCGGCAGGATCGGGCTCGTAAAGAAGGGATGCTTTTGTTGAAGGACGCGCTTTGGAGCTTGTGTGGGAAGAGGCGGAGGGCGGCATGAAGCGGCAGATCATTTTTCAATGAAAATAGCGTACAGCTGTGCCTGGCGCTCTTTGTGCGCGGCTCAGCGTTTGCTTTCACCCAGGGAGAAGTTGGATTGCGTGATTTATTTCACTGATTTCTTCTTTTCCCCACCCCGCTGTTTCCCCCCCCCCCCCTTTTAATATTTCCTATTAGCCTTTTGGTTTAGTTAATTTAGGATTATTTCCTTCTTCAAAAGATAAAAATTAATGATTTTTCTGCTGAGAAGGGGCTGGCTGGCGGCCGAGAGCCGTAGTGAAGGACCAGGGAATCATTACTCAAAAAAAAAAAAAAAAAAAAAGACCAAAAAAGCCCGGGGATTTGTGGTAGCACTTTAATTTGTGCACTTGACATTGGAGATTGGAACCAGATGCAGTGCTGCTGGGGGAGGGGGCGCTGGTGGCAGTAGGTGGCGCAGCGAAGTTACCCCTTGAACCCATCACCTTCTCCAGCCTGGCTGCCAGCCAGCCCCGGCTCCCGCAGAAATGCGGGAGAGGACCTGGAATCGCCCCTTTGGGTTCTCTGAGGATGGTCTTAAATGCCAGCACATCTTCAAACAGCCTCGCCAGCGCTTTTTGCATTTGCTCTCCCTTTGCCCAAGGCCAGGTTGGACGGGGCTCGGAGCAACCTGGTCTAGTGGAAGATGTCCCTGCCCATAGCAGGGGGTTGGAACGAGATGAGCTTTAAGGTCCCTTCCAACCCAAACCATTCAAGGATTGTATGATTCTGTGACTGGCCCATCCAAGGGGAAAGGTTGTCCTGGATTTAACGGGTTTAGATCTAGTCCAGCTCTAAGCATCAAAACTCTTTGCACTGAGTGTATCAGAGCACCCCCTGTGTGCCGATAAAATGATGCACTCAAAGAAACAAAAGTAGATGAACCTTCTTCCTGCCTCCTCCACTTTCCCCAAAGCCAGAGCAATTAAAGGGTATGAAGCTGAACAGGTGATGGATAAGCAGCATTATAATACACATGGGGAAACTGATTGTGTTGACCGTGGGTTAATGAGTGCCTTGCAAAATCATTTCTTATTGCTTATTTTATGCCATCAAATTACCTTCATAAATAGCCCAAAAATTCATCTCACGGCAATTTTACACAATTATAGTGAGAGAAGGGGAAGAATCACTTTTCCTTCCTGCTGCACTGCAAAACTAATAAAAGGGCTGCGATCCCAGCCCTGGGAATCTTGCTCTCTGTATGGCAAGACTATAAGCTCGTAATGTGCAGCAGAACAAGGCGGTTCCCACACTACAGGCACTTGTTGGCAGAGCTGTTTCGTCCATTGTGTGAGCAGATGTGATCTTTGACTAACACCACTGTGGTGGCGAACGTGCCCCGTTGGGCTGGCACAGCTGCCCAGCCCGTTTCGTGTGCCCGGGTCTGGTTTGACCCCACCACACAACGCAGCTTTGTTGTCACAGCTGTGGTCAGCACAGCGTGTTGGTCTTCCTAAATCGTGGAGCGTGCTCCTTATGCAGAACTGGCTGGAAGAGGCTGGGATGAAGTGCCTGCATAATTCTTCGCTGAAGTATTTATCATCTAAAATTTCACGGCTTTGTTCGGGGTTTGTTTTTTTTTTAATAACAGAATATTGACAAGGTACTCCCACAGTGCTCAGATGGAGAAGTCTGTCTTTGGAACACCTCCTGAAGGAGCTGATGTTCTTTGTCTTCTTCTTGTTTTCCAGAACTGCCTGAGGAGGAGGGATGCTGGCTTGTTAAATCAGTTACAAGAGCTGGATAAGCAAATAAGTGACCTCCGCCTGGACGTGGAAAAAACAGCAGATGAACACCTTGAGACAGACAGTCGTCCAAGTTCAGGTAAGGGCCCAGCAAAATGAAGCCTCCCACCTGGAATTAAACTGGATGTAGTTTTTCATGCTGTAGTTTCCACTAGCACAACAGTGAATGTTTACAGCATGTTCACACTCTGATGATCAGTTCCTACTAACAGAATTCATCTACCGCTGAAAAGGGGCATCTCAAGCTTAATTAGATTTTTAGTGTTTGAGGCCTTTTTTTTTTTTTTTTTTTGCAAGGGCACCCTCAAATTAGTTCAGGAAGTTCTAATTGTCCTGCATATTAGGAAGGAGACTGTAGGAAAAAAAGAAAGGTGAAAGGAAGCACCACCAGCAGGGGGAAATGTGTCAAAATTGATCCTACAGCCAGAAGGGAACATAGAATAAAACAATTTGATCCCCCATATATTGAATTTCATCTCATTCTAACTGTGTTGAAGCCAGTAAGTGGTATTTAACTATGGGGAGCTTTTCCTGGAGGCATTTAGACTTGTTCTAAAAGTACTAAAAAGTGGAGAATCCACCAACTTGCAATTGTTAAAGCCATTGCTAATTTTGAATGTGAATTCGACTTGTTCCAGCACTGATTTTTTTTTTTAATATCCTTTTATCCCCTAAAGAAAGGTCTCTCTCTAGTGCACAGCTTTTCCTCCTCTTGGAGGTGCTATACAGTATAATTCCTGGTTTGGTTTTTTTTTGATGAGCTAAACAGGTCAAGTTCATGAAGTCATTCATTTTAAGGCATTTTTCCAAGCTCCTAAATAGCTTGATGGCCTCTTTCCAGTTTTTTAGCTTTGTTTTAAGCGTGCTGGATTCAAGGACTGGGCTCACCATTCCAATGTCTTTCTTACCAGTGCTGTATGGACTGCTGAAGTCATTTCCCTGCTGCTGTTCATTAGTCTCTTTGTACATCCAACAATCTCATTAGCTTTTTTTGCCATATCATTAAGCTTGATTGAGCTGCTTTTCCACGCTGACTAAGCCCTTTCCAGGATTATTGTTTCCAGGATGCATCCCCATTCTGTAAGCATGCCCTGCATTCCTCGTTCCTAAATGTGCAATTTAAATTTTGTTTATGGTATGTAATTTTTTCTTGAGTAGTCCCAATTTACAAGGAAATTAAGTTTTATGTGTCTGCACATTATTTACCATTTTTCTTCTTTCCTGTCATCCACAAATATTACGTTTAGCCCCAGAACTTTGAGGAAAATAGTGAACAGCACTGGGCCCAACACTTTTGTAGTCAAGTAATAGTTGGAGAGTCTGTCTTGGAAGTGTAACACTAATAAATGAGTGGGCTGTCAAAGAACCTGGATCCTTCTTGTTAAAATCTGAAAATCCCTGTAAAGGTTAAAACCCCCACTCTTGTAAAGGTTAAAAAAAAGTTAAAAATTTCTGCTGTTTTACTTTTAAGTGTTTTGCTTTTAAACAGAATCCTTCTTGGCAATAAGGGTATTACTAAATTGGGGGCTGGTTTTGGGGTGACTGAATGAAATCACGTAACTAATTGCAACAGAGGAAGCCAACTCAAACATGAGCTTGACTGCCTTTCTGGGGACACAAATGGTAACTTTGTGTAGACGTAACTAACATAAATCCAAACTCTTATTTTTATAGGGTTTTATGAGCTGAGTGATGGAGCCTCTGGATCGCTTTCCAATTCATCTAACTCTGTCTTCAGTGAGTGTTTATCCAGTTGCCATTCTAGCACTTGCTTTTGCAGCCCTTTGGAGGCAACACTGAATATCTCAGATGGACGCCCTAAATCTGCAGGTATAGTAAAAGCAGGTCGAGTACATCATACTCCAGGAGGTGGCTTTGGCTTTGGAAATACTGCCTCAGGAGTACCTGGGTTGGATTAACCCTTCTTCCTTTCATGTGACGTCTTATGCTCTGAAAAGATTCCAGTGCCTCTCACGTACATGGGTCACAAGGCAGGACTGTTTGCCCTCCACTGCTCCAGCCTTTCATGGGAACATGTCACTCCAAACACATGGAAATAACTTGTGAGGATATATCAGCTGCTCTACCCAGCAGAGGGCAGTGGTACCTGTTCACAGAAACCCATTAGTCGGCTTATTTCTTGTGGTTTCCTCTGGAAAAGCATTTTTAGTAAATTGTAATAATTAAAGGTACCTCATAGCCAAATCCTCATTACAGTCACAGAGTAAGGAGGTAGCTACAGGTTTTAAGGGGTCAGGGTGCATGTCAGTCTGTTTGTAGCAGTCATTTTTGTCAGTGCTGATGGTCCTCAACCCCCAGGTGACCGTGGTGAGGTGTGTCCTGCATTTATAAAGTGTAGACCAATAGACATTATGAACAGAGAAGATATCCTTTGTCTCTTTGGCAGAGAGTTGTGGACTTTCCTCGGACACTGGGCTGAAGATGCAGACCTTGATGTGTGGGATGATTAAATAGGAAGGGCTCCTCTGCCTGCTGTCCATAAAGGACACTTCAGTAGGACTTTTGTCCTTTGTTTTGTGGATTATTGGTTGCAGACATACTCATTCAAAAGCCTTAGCTCATTCTGGGCTGTGGAGGATGCTTCCAACCACGGTATTTCCAATTTCCACTCTGCTCTTTGAGGTTAACTTACAGTGATTTGTTGTGAATCAAGTACATTCGTGCTCTTTTAATTCCGAAGTGGGAAAACACAGCTTTGGATACATTAATTCTGAGGTGCTGACAAGTCCTTTAAGTTACCCTTTGAGCAGCTTGAGGTAATTTAATGCTCCCTGTTGTAAAGATGTATGTGATCTTCATGGGCCATGCATAATAAGGAAAACATACGCAAGGAATTCCAGCTGATTGCATTGCAATACGTATTTTTATGTATATATCATGAAAACCTAAACCTCTTGTTATTCATACTGTCTCACATTTAGTTTCTAAAACTGGCAGTTTTCGAAGAAACCTTTTTGTCAACATTTCCCGATTCCAACAGAATTTAGGAAAAGTGGGAAAACCGTGAGGAACTTCATGCTCCTAACTTCCCTGTTCTTCCCCTCCTGCTCACACAGGAACTCTGTCAGCTGCTTTCATCAACGCCTGTGAGACCTCTTTGAAATAAGCCTTAGATAAGTGATGAGCGCTGAGCATTCAAATTTGAGTACCCTGGCTGAAGTTTCCAGCCCAAGGGTAGAAAACAGGACTGGCAGAGATCTAGAGGGATCATTTAGATTGTACCCCTACCCAAGCAGACAAGGGCAACTTCTTAAGCTTAAGAAAATAATAATCTTAGGTGCTTGGGTTGAAGCCCTGTTCTTAAGGTCTCTTACCTCCCCAGTAAGCACCTTAGCCATTAAATCTGACTCATGCATCCTGAAACGCACTGGATTTCTCTTGCAGAACTCTCTTTGCAGAGCCAGGGCTAGGATGTCAGCTGGATTGACCTGCACTCCTTGTACTTGTGTGAAAAGATGAGCCTGTTTCCCATTCTTGAACCCTTTATCGCTCAAAAGGAGCATCTGTTATTATTATTAACATTATTATAATTATTATGATAATAATAGTAATAATGATAATAACAACAATAATAAAATTAAATCTGGATTTTTTTCCTGACCCAAGACATGCTTGGAAGAATCCAGAAGTTAAATTTGTCAATAAGTTAGAATTCATTGTTCTCTTGTCTGTATTTTTTTTTTGTTTCTCTTTGGATTTAGCGAAGTAAAATACAAAGTTCATACATGCTGAGGCCTGCAGTGAGTTTTACAGGTGACTGTGTAAGGTGTAAGAGACCCTTGCACACTCCTGTGTGGCTGAAAAGTAAGATAGGAAGCTCTTAAGAACCTGGGCAGAGGTTTGAAACCAATGTAAAAGTTCTCATTAGGGCTGTGATTTTTATTGTTTCAATCATGTGGTCGTAGTGGGGCAAATTCCTACGTAGATGCAGTTACAAAGAGCCCCACAGAAGAGTAGTGCTGCTTTTATATCACTTGAATGGCACGTCCTTGGTTGCAAAACTGCTGCTGCTGTAGTTAAAACGTTGCGTCGTGTGCATAGATGGGACCGGTGTCCTTGGCAGCACGTTAGAAGCGTATCACAGGTGTCCCTGGCAGGTTCTCTAAACTCTTCTAAAATGCCTTTCAGATCTCATAGGCTGGATGGACTATAATAAGGAAGGCCAGCATGAGGACCAGACCGCAGGCTCTGTCTGTCGCTCTTTGTCCACACCGCACTCAAATTCCCTCGATGTCGTTGCAGATGTACATCCCAAGTACCAGTGCGATCTGGTGTCTAAAAACGGGAACGACATCTACCGGTACCCCAGCCCGCTCCACGCTGTGGCTGTGCAGAGCCCCATGTTCCTCCTCCCCGTGACTGAGAACCCCCAGCGAGAAGAGGAGAGGCTCGGTGGCGATATTAGCGACGTTTGCACCCCGTCGGAAACGGACTCGGGACAATCCGCCAACACCTTCCTCCCGCAGAGCTCCTGGCCGGCGCCCTGCCCTTCCACCAGCAAGAGGATAGACAGTTACATCTTGAGCCTGGTCCAGAAAAAGACTCACGCGGTGAGGACTAACAAACCCAGGACGAGCCTCAACGCCGATCCCACCAAAGGGATCCTGAGGCACGGAAGCATGTGTGTCAGGCAGCCGGCAGCCGTGGTGGCTCACGGCAATGTCGTGAGCCTGAAGAGCTCCAAGCAGGTGTGTTTGCCCCCCGGTGGCACCCCCGCTCTAGACCACACAGCACCCTCTCCCTTAAAGCAGAGGCCGAGGGAGCCAGCTGGCGAGCAGCTGGAGAGCAGGAAGGCACCTTTGCCGGCAGCTTTCCCACCCGGCACAGCAACGGAACTTCAGAGCAAGCACCTGCCACGGGGTGTCAAACCGGCACCGCCGGAGCTCAACCGCGGCGTGGCGGCCACAGCAGGGGATGTCCCCAAGGAGAACGGCCAGCTCTTCGCTGCGTCTCCCAAAGAGAGCCCAGGGAAGCCCGTGGTACTGCAGCCAGAGAACAGGGTCAGCCAGCCTCCCAAAAAGATCCTGCTGAAGAGCAGCTTGCAGGCAGCTCTCTCCTCGTCGCCAGCTGTCGAGGAGAGGCCCGCGCTGGATTTCAAAAGCGAGGGCTCTTCCTCGCAGAGCCTGGATGATGGGCTGCTGGTGAACGCCCAGTACATCCCTGCCCAGCAGCAAAGCATGAAACTTCACAAAGGCACCCGAAATGTCAAGATTTTGAAAAGCTCTGCATTGAAACACAGGTCCCACCTTGCCAACGGGCTGGAAAACAGCTCGCAGACCTTGCGGGAGAAAACCAAACCGGTGGGCAAGAAGTGCCGCTTTCCCGAGGAGTTGGATACAAATAAGAAACTGAAAAAGCCCTCGTCCCGGGGGAAGAGAGGCAGCGGGTTGCCGCTGGAGCCGGGCCCCCCCAGCCGGCAGGGTGGCCTGCACAGATCCGCCCTCCGCTCCCACGGGCACGGCCGAGAGGTCGTGGTGGCCAAGCCGAAACACAAGCGCGCCGACTACCGCCGGTGGAAGTCGTCGGCGGAGATTTCCTACGAGGAGGCCCTGCGGAGGGCCAGGAGGAACCGGCGGGAGGGCGTGGGGGTCTACCCGCAGGTGCCCCTGCCCTACGTCAGCCCCTACGCCTACGTGGCCAGCGACTCGGAGTACTCGGCAGAGTGCGAGTCCTTGTTCCACTCCACCGTGGTGGACACGAGCGAGGATGAGCAGAGCAACTACACGACGAACTGCTTTGGAGACAGCGAGTCAAGCCTGAGCGAGGTGGAGTTCGTAGGGGAGAGCACGACCACCAGCGACTCTGACGAGAGCGGGGGCCTGATTTGGTCCCAGTTTGTCCAGACGCTCCCCATCCAAACGGTCACGGCGCCGGAGCTGCATGAAAATGCGGCAAAGGCCTTTGTCAAAATCAAAGCCTCCCATAACCTCAAGAAGAAGATCCTCCGCTTTCGGTCAGGCTCCCTGAAGCTCATGACGACCGTCTAGTGAGGTGACTTGGTGGAATGTATCTGCTTCTGCTTTCGGAAGCAAGGTGCTTTGTTTTTTTGTACATATTTCCACAGAATTTTTTTTTTTTTTATACAAATATTTAAAACTTAAGGTAAATTATGTCACTTGTCTTCAGAACTTGGGTGGATACTAGTGCCTTTTACGTGGAAATAAAAGACCGTTATAAAAAACGAAAACCCAACATAACACTGCCATTTCAGTGGTGAACAGCCTCCAGCGTGTGGTGTCAGAAGGCTTTGAAAAAAGGCTAATGTTTCTGAGTATGGATCTCCCTTGCCTAGTTTTTCTAGTTCTGGGTCTTATACAGGATATTGACAGCTTAAGGTCATAAGTTTTTAGGGAAAAAGGGGGAGGGAGTGTGGGTGGTTTTCATGCTTTTGCTTGTCCCTTTCTGCTGCTGCTGTTGCCACATCTTGAACTTCTTCCTCCTGGTAGTCTGGCCTGTTTTTTTTTTTTTCCTTTTCTTGTTGATTCTCTTCTTAAAACTCACCCCTGTCCTCCTCCAGCCTTCCCCCACCAGAAAAGGGCTCCTGTTCAATCTGTCTGCCTTCTCTGGAGTGCACTCTGCTCTGATCTCCCGGGAGTCCCGCTGCGGACGGCGGTGGTGTCCAGAGTAAACTGCTGGAGCAGCTGACCAAGGCTTAGTAACTTCATTATATTGTGTAAAACTGCTTTTGAAAAAGAAAGAAAAAACCCATATGCATGTCACGTGCATGAGTATCAGTAGTTTTAATATTCCTGTTGATGTCCAATTTACTGTACATCATCAATGGCTGTTTTTATATATATATATATATATCATTGTGTAAATTAATATAACACATCATATGCTGTAATAAACAGTCTGTTTTAATACTTTTTAAAGTTTGTTACGTTGGTGCAGACCCAGTCAATGGTTTTATATTGGCATTGTCACCACTTAGATGTGTCTGATGTGACCTGTTAAAGTTCCCTGCATTTAGCAATGCAGGAAACAGAGAAAGTTTAAAGTGTTGCTGTGGATGTGACTTGTGCTGTGAGGGAATTGGGTTGTCATGGCTCCTCTTGTTCTTCCCATAACTTGCATTTTTCTAAGGGCAAGGTAGGATTTAGGATCTCAGAGGCATCTTCAGGTTGTTGCTGACGGGCAGCTCACGTTGCGGAGCAGATGGAAGTGTAATATTAATCCTCCTCGCTGTCTGGGTGCTTCCAGACTTGGGTTGGTACAACACAGGGGCAGATGGTTGGTTTCTGTAACCAAATCGATCCGTGTAACGTAACAGGTGTCCCTCTGAAACCTCCAGTAAATGAATCCCCAAGAGCTCTGTGCTCTGGGAGCCGGGCTGGGTGGAGGAGAGCACAGGTCTGTGGTGACCTCCTTAGCTGTGGCAGCTGACTCTATCACAGCCCTGGCAAGGTCATGGAAAGAAGTGACAATTGTGTCACCCACTGGTCTCTGTCTCAGTTTATTCCCATAGGACTGGAGGTGAGTCTGCCAGCAAAAGAGAAAGGAACTATCCATAGGCCACACTGCTTCCCTTCACAGCAACAGCTGTGCAGCTTCCTGGTGGGAAGGCTGGAGGTTTTTGGCAGGTTGAGCTGGTTTCTGCAGGTTCATCTTCTGCTTTGGCAACCACAAAGTGGTGGACATACAACTGGCGTGGGTGCTGTGACTGGTACGGATTTCAGGGATTTGTGTGCAGCCTGTCCGTTCCATGGCAAGATTCTGCTGAGCAGAACCTTCCTTTGTGGTTCCTCTGTGTCCTTCCTGCTGTCACCCACCTGAAAGGCAGAGCAGATTTTTTTCTCAGGTTCCCTTGCATAGCAGATGTAGGAAGGAGAGATCCACCTGGAATTAAACATCTCTGGCAGCAGTTCCTGAGGCAATGGGAACACTTTTTCCAAGAGGCACATTCTATTTTTTAATCTGCAGTGCAGTAAATCCCTACCTATAAAATGTCTTATACTTCTTTTTCTTTTTTTTTTTAAGTAGAGAGATATCAGTTTCTGTAAGTGTTTTAAAGTACATCACAAGCCTGTGGATTCAGTGACCCAGAAAGTCCTTGCACTTCCATCTCCCACGATGCAGGAAAAGCTGTAACTCCCCTTACCTGCTTATAACTGTCCTATTGCTTTACACATGGAAGGGCAGCTTGTATATATATATATGTATGTATAAAAAATTTATATAATGGTATGAAATATTTCATCCAGAAATTACTGGACAGTGGCTGCCACCACAGAGAGGGGAAAGAAGTAATGTTTATTATATGTGGCATTACTAAGGCTAAGCAGCAGCTTAATGCATTCCCATGAATAACTGATGGGTGTTATATCAAACAAAGGGAATGTCTTGTGGAAGCTAGTAGTTTCTTTCCTAGAATATCTCTTAATCATGCCACATAATCTCTCTTTGAGCGAGAAAAACATGTGCAAATCCCTGTAAATCTCCTCAAAGTTGTAGCAGAGTTGCAGAGAGGATCCTCAGACATGCACTCCATCTCTCTGGCTGTAAAGGAGCCACTGGTGGAGAGACAAAGCAACCAGTGGATGAGGTTTTAATTGCAGAGCTATAGCAGATTGCCTTGTTCCAGGTGAGGGAGGCTGCTTTTCAAAAGTGAGCTGCTGAATGGTTTCTTTTCAGATAATTGAGTAAAAAAAACCTAAATAACCACCTAAATATCGCTAAGGCTGTATCAGCTGCAGCCACTGTATTCTGCAGTTCTCTTGCTGAATAGCTTGATACCAGACCTGGGAAATGGGCTGATGGTATCTCTGTCTTAATTGCATCTGAGTCTTTTCAATTTGGGGAAGGAATTTTCCTTTTTTTACAGGATTTAGGTAAGCATCCAGAATCCTTTAGACAGGCCCAGGTTTTTCTATCTACACCCAACCCCCTCCATATTTCTTTTTTATTAACAGATCTTAAGAGTGCTGGAAAAGTACTTGATATGGTCCCAATGCACAACACACATTCTCGTCTCTGGTTCTGATTTAGGAAACACATCTGAGTTAGTAAGTTTGGCTGAAAAACATCTGCTGATCTTGGAGACCAGTTGAATATCTGGCACTTCTTTAAGCTACCTGGCTTTCCAGCTTCACAGCCTGGAGTCCTTGCCCGTGTATTTTTCATACTGTTCACATTTTAATCATCCCCAGTGTTTATGGTTGCCTTTGGAAGTCTGAAGCAGGAACATTTCATTGCACTGGGACCTGTTTCCAGGTGGGGGTAGGTTGTGGTGGGGAAGTTTGGGATTAGGTATCCCTATGCTCTGTATGTAACTGAGTGCAGGAAAGCACAGACACAGAAAGGAACACGAGCAGACCCCTTTAGCTGGATTCCTTGTGATTCAGGAAACACGGTGTTTCTGCACACCTGGAGCACCATCGCTCCCGCTGCGGGAATCAGCATCACACTCTGAGGGGATGAGCGTGTCACTGGGCTGTCTGCCTTCCAGCAGGCTTTTTGGGTCTGTCTTCTGCTCCCCAGCCCCAGCCACCAGCTGTGGGTCAGCAAATAAACAATCAAGCTGTGTCTGGTGCGTGCAGGGTCAGGGAGAGGCCCTGGCGTTGTGCCGAGACGTCCCAACTGCGTGGGGCCCCTGCTGTGGACCTCATGCTTGTCCTGAGAAATCCAACGTGCCTGTGCTGCAAGGGCTCAGACAGCTGGGTCTGAAGGAAGGGGGGAATGGAGAGTCCCATAAATAGAGTGGCCTGATCCTGCTTCAGCTGTATTTCTAAGAGAGGCTGGAAGAAGAGGTGTTTCAGCCTCGTGTTTCAGCTCAGTAAGTTGGACTGGATTAAAGAGAATCCTCTGAGGGACTCTGCCTCCTTTTTTCCAGAACCCTCTAAATGATCAAGGCCACTATCAGCACTGCCACTTGCTCAGGTGCTTAAAGCATCTGACCAAGTCCTGCAAGAACTGGGGACAAGTGATGAGCTTCAGTCCCCCAGGTCTGTTTTTGGCCTTCCATGGCACAGCCCCTGTTTGCAGAGAGCCTTTAAGTCCCAGCCCTCTGCAGCTTTCCCTGTCCTGGGGCTTCAGAGGGAATCTATCCATCCCTTACAAGTTTTCTAGTTTCCTTATGGCCTGGGGTTTTTGCTGGATAAGGACTGAAAAGAAATTCTCCACGACAGTCCTGTGCCTTCAGTAATCCCAAATCTGTTTGTTGGCTCAGAGGAAGGTCAAATGGCAGCTCAAGTGGCGCTCCTCAGGTGGCAGCCAGCAAAGCCATCCCTCAGGGACCTGCATCTCTTTCTGTCACAAAGGGCAGCAAAGGCTTGGGTTGGCTGTGGTCACCACTTGGCAGCTGATTCACCACAACGGGCACGGCTCTCCCTCAGCATGTGATTTTTCTCACAGGAGGGAACAAGGACGTGAACATTTTTGAGGAAGCAGAAACAACTAAATGCATTTTTAATAGCTAACTTCAGTGTCTAGTATGTATCTTTGGAGTAGCCAACAAAAATACACAGCACTGAGCTGCTGGTACGAAAACAGAGCCATTCTCAGCTCTTTGCAATGTCCTGTCCATGGTAGGAGGGGACACAGAAACCGATGGAGACAAATCACAAACCCCAGGTCAGTTTGTCAAACTTGCTTTTCTCCTGAATTTCTCTGAACCTCCAAGGTATTGCACTGGGGCTCCTTGCACGGCATGGTGTTTCTTTTCCTAACTAAACATTATAGATGGAGAACTGTGGTGAGAAACAATTGATGCTGGAGCGTGTCCAGAGAAGGACAAGAGAGGATGAAAGGACTAGAGAAGAAGTCTTATGAGAAGTGGCTGAGGGAGCTGGGGGGGCTCAACCTGGAAAACAAGAGGCTTAGGGGGAACCTTCTTGCTCTCTACAACTCCCTGACAGGAGGTTGTAGCCAGGTGGGGGTCAGGCTCTGCTCCCAAGAAACAAGTGATGGGACAAGAGGAAACAGCTTCAAGTTGCACCAGGAGAGGTTTAGATTGGAACTTAGGAGAAAAACCTTCTCTGCGTTGGAACAGGCTTCCCAGGGAAGCGGTGGAGTCGCCATCCCTGGAAGTGTTCCAGAAATATGTGGATGTGGCGCTTGAGGACTTGGTTTAGTGGTGAACATGATGGTGCTGGGGTAACGGTTGGACTCAGTGATCTTAGAGGTCTTTTCCAACCTTAACTGTTCCATGATTCTTCAAGTGGCTTTAGAGGTTAAAAATTCTCACAGTGCTGAAATGAGGGGAGATATAGAAACCAGTGGGGGATCCGTTTAAAAGGGATACTAGAAAGTGCTTTTTTACACAGCAGGGAATCTGCTACCACAGGAAATAGTGAGACAGATGTAATATCAGCAAGTTCAAAGGTGTTAGAGAAGGTAGGGATGGGTGTGCTTTACCATCCCCAGTCAATGATTGTGGATGCCAGAAGAGTGTGAAGTGAATGGACTGCAAATAGTGGCCAGGCTTGTGTGCTCCCATTCAAGATTGTCTTTCCCTGTTGTTGTTGAACTACCATTAGCTGGAAGAGATGCACCATCCTGTTGACACAGCAGACCATTTCCTCTGCTCCTATGATCTTGGAGTAGCTGATGGAGGTTGTCTATGCAACTGAATTTCCTCACTCTTTATTAGTCTTTTGCCCTCCCAAGTGCTGCTGAAGGCAAGTTTTGCATTGCTTTGCAAAGTTCACTTTCCACGCTTGGCTGACACGTGTTTGTTCAGACTGTGGGCACGTGTTTCTGGTCACTCTCGTCCTGTGACACAATTTCATCCACCCTTTTGCATGGGCAGCCTGTGCTGAAGTCCTCTGTTATGGTGAACATCATTCCCTGTCCTACAAACACCGTTATGGACACAGCCCATAGATGATCCTCATGACTTCAGTCCATACATTAGTCTACCATGGGAGTCACTGTTGGGCAGCAATTTCACACCCTACAGTTGCTTATAAACTCTAGGAGAAGCTGGTGAACTCCAAACCAAATGAACCATCCTAGAGACAAGAATGCCTCCACTGCTCCTTGCCTTGGGACTTTGCTATCCTTGGAGAGCGTTTCTCTCCATCTGACTGTGTCTCCATTGGTGCTTTGGCTTGGAGCAACAGAGCAATCTGGGAGTGAGTCCCATGGTCATCTCCACTTGGTGAGTGCTGGTTTGGACAGCAGAGCAGTTTTAGGGCACACTTGGTAGATGCCTTGAGAACACTGACCCAGGTGGTCCACTCCAGGGACACAGCAAATGTGTTTCTACCCGATCAGGGACATGGGGATCTGACCCAGTGATGGCTCCCTGGAATAACTTCCAGTCAAAAAATATGGGCAAGTTTGGTCCAAATGACACTGGGGACCAGACTTAGTCTAGGCTAAAGTAAACAGTTGAACTGTGTATATTGTACTTGTGGGGAACTCTCTTTGGATCTGCTCCTTTTGTGCTGGGTGACCTCTAATGTAAACAGAGCCTTTCTCTCAATTAATGGCCTTTGTTTCCATGTGTATTCCTTTAAGATCAATAAAGTATATTAACATTAATACCTTCATTTCACTGAGCCAAGCTCTGAAAATCTGGCTTTTGTTCTTTTTAAGGGAGTTGTAAGTCCTGGGAACTAAGACTTTTGTGACTATACTAAAGGAAAACCTCTATGATTTAGACTCTGACCTCATGATGGGTTTCATGTCGTCAGGCTTTGTAAGAAAATTGTTTTATCCCCCCAAAAAACGTCAAGTCTTCTGTGGTCAAGGGCAGGAAGCTGAAAAACTTGCAGCCTGTTGAAAAATAATTCCCTGTATCTCCTTGTGAGCCTTGAGCCTTCAGAAATGAGATTTTCATGAGGAAAGGAGGCATGAGGTACAGGTAGGGGAAGGACCTAATCAATCTCAATCTCTGAAGTGCTCATGCAGTAAGTGTTTAAGCACATGATTAAGCCCATTCTTACCCAGTGAAGCATTTCATTCAGTCCACGATTTGAGTGTGTCGTGTTTGGGGTGAATTAAACACATGCTCAGGAATGCTCAAGGTCTCTAAGCTTTGCAAGTGTCCTATGTGTGTTTGTACAAGCTGTTCCAGTGACTCCTCTTGGCTAATGCTGGAAGGAACTCCCTGCTCTCCCTTAAGAGCCAGACCCTGTACGGTGAAATTTGATTCAAACTCTTAATCTGAATTTGGGAGAAGCAGCACCTCGAGTCCATGATTTAAGTAGTAATAGCAAGGAGTGCTTTTAAAGGAAGAAATGCATTTGTTAATTGTTGTATTTGAGGCCACTGAGCTAAAAACACTTTAGATATATGAGTGAATGTGCTTTGTGCTCTGTATCAGTAGCAGGACTTTGTGTAAGCCCTGGGAATGACACTCGGGAAGAGACAGAATGACCCTTTCTATATTCTCTCCCTTCCCTTGGATGCCCAGGTAGATTTGGGAAAATGAGGCAGGCAGGAAGGGCTAGGCACAAGCACCAAATCTGTAGGGTCTGCAGCACCACTCATTCATCTGCCTGGCTAATTTTACCTTAATCCCAGTTTCAGGCAGTGGGATTAGCAAAACAGTGGGATCTCTGAGCTACACAGAGCCCGAGGATAGAGCTGGGAAGTGCAGAGAAGGTAACTTTGCCTCACTTCAAGGAAAGCTGCAGTTTGAGCAAGCAGTAGAGGCAAGGGAATGGTTAAAGGTTTGTCTTCTCTTCCCAGACACGTTATTTACAGTGGGTCGGTTTCCTTTTGGAAGGGCCCTCTGTAAAAGGAGACGTTCCCAGCGTTTCTGTGGGTTAGACCTGTATCACATTACAGTTTTCTTTCCTGGACTCCTGACTGACACGATTTCCTGAAGTTGCTCTCCTCTCGGGAAGGTGAACTCAGGAAAGAGTAGGAGTTTGCTAAAAATCCAGAGTCTTGGAAAGCAGAATCACGGTGATGTCCTTTTCTTTCTAGACATAAGGTCAGCCCTCAGTGCTGGATCATGTTCTGTATCTCCCAGTGTGGGGCAAGGGCTGGGAAAGGAGTGGGAGAGGGAATCCATCAGGTTTGATAAGAGAGCAGTCTGTAAATCCTGTTGGAGCAGCTTGCAAAGGCCACAGCACCAGCCACAGGAGCAGCTCTTGGCTGTGTCAGGCGAGCAGCCATCCCACCTGTGGGCAGTGAGGTCAAAGGCAGTGGTAGCCATTGACTTGGGTATCCTGACCCCTGCCTTTGCTGAAGCCACCTTCCTGCCTCCAGGCCACAGCAGGCAGCGTGTTCACCCTGGTTAGTGTTTCCTTTACTGCTTTTTTTTTCTCCTTCATGAGATAAATTGTGGCTTGGCATTAAAGCCAAAGAGCTGAATGAAAGTGAAGCTCTGGCTTGTTTCTCCTGTCAAACACTTCACAGTAGTGTTTTCCTTGATGGTGAATTGCTTGAAAGGAAGAGATATGATCCTCTTCTCATCTGCAACATACTCATTTTTTACAGGTGTCTTCTGAGTGGTTTGTATGGAACAACAAACACGCTGAGGTAACACATCACTGTCTTCAGCACCGTGGGATACCCTGAAACAGCTCTGTATCTGCACCATCCACAGCTACCCCAAGATGTTTTTCTGACAGGGATATCAGAACTAAGAGGTTTGGATCTGACTGATCCCACCTGAAGCCCATCAGTGCTTAGGGTGAAGATGCTCCTGCAGGGAGAGGAGGAAGCACACTCAGAAGTGTTTATTATTGCTGTTGAATGACAAGCTCCCTTTCTTTCCCCTCCCCTTCCCTGCCATGGAGATAGGGATCTCTGCTGTGGTCCCTGCTGCTTTCTTTTTCCTGTGTTGATCTATGGTAAGACTTGCTGCCTTTGAAGGATGGTCTTAGCCCTGAGAGAGGCTTTTGTTGCTCAACCACTGACATTTGATTCAGAGCATGTTTTCCTCTGGGCCCACTGCAGATGCCCACCATCTCCCTGGGTAGGTTGCTTGGGCTCATGAACATGGTAATGTGGGAGCTCTGAGCCTTCCTCCCTTCCCTCATCTTTGCCACTAAAACAAGATTTTCTGACTTTCGTCCTCTGTCCTGTTGACTCTCATCTGAAGTCATCTGGCTGTGGGGGTGCTCCTCATGACTTCAGAGCACAGCACTTATGTCTTTGGCCTAAGTAAAAGTTGTGGATCCATCACAAAAATATGAAATAAACAAATAATTTCGTGTTAAAAAAAAAAAGGCAGTGGAGAACTGGCTTTTCTTTCTGTTGGATTTCCACCCTTTATTAACTACTCAACCACAAGCATCATGATACAGACAGGAAACAACGAAAGTGAAAATAATAGATCACCATCCCTACTGTGTTGCAGAGACTCAATGCACTTGCATGGGGAAGGGAGAAACAAAAGGCACTTTGTCCTTCCAGAGGACCCTCCCCTCACTGATATTGATCTAAAACCCAAAATAATTTACTGATCTAAGTTAGGAGAGATGGCAAAATGGACAAAGTGCAGCTGGTCCCTGTGCTAGAAACTGATTCCTCTGGCTGCTGGATCCACTCCTGTTCCTGTTGATGGATTCTTAGAGCGTTTCCTTGGTGGTCAGGGCTGCTTCCAGAAACTGCTCCTGGTGCACCGATGAAAAGGCCAATTTTGTAAGTAAACATCCTAATAAGCAGATCTTGACAGATGGTTTGTTGCTCAAGCCCCACATAACCTTTCAGCTGGTGTCAGTGTCTCCCACAGATGTTTCCCAGGAGAACTTCCCCACGGTGTGCTTGGGAGCTCTCAGCTTTCACAGCACGTCCGGCTGCATCCCAAGGAGAAGCCTTGGTGCTTGCTCAACACATTGTGGGTATGTCTTGGGAACAACAGACTTCTGGAAACATGTTTCTCATAGTATAAATAAATTTAGGCTCCCAGTGGAGCCTGTTGGTGGCTGAACAGGGTAAGCAAAGGTGTCTGTGCACAGCAGCTGCTGCTGCTGCCATTTGGTCCATGGGCAGTGAGAAATGTCCAGTGTTACATGAAGCAGAACAAAAAATGTCTCGTACAATTTAGGTATCCTTCAGTCTCTTTTGTCTTGGTATTGCCTCATCTCTGTCTTTCCAAAATCTGTCCCCCATATTTTCTAGCAAATTGTAGAAAAAATGTCATTTAAGGAAGTGATTTTTCCAAGTGAATCTCCTCTTTTCCCCCCATTTCCTTTGTCTGTGAGTCTGATGAACTGTTCCGAGCCCTGGGGTCAGCCCATGATGCTGTAGTCACTCACAAGATCAGCTGTGCAGTCCTCAGGCAGATCACATATTTCTGCTAGTAGCTGATGGGTAAATACAGAGACTTTACCTTGTTCTCCTCCCAAGAGGAGCTCGTGAGACTGTAAGACAGTTCATACAATCTGTCTTCCAGACCAGACAATGTAGATTTGGCTGATTTGTGTATCCCTGCAGTGTTTGTGGTGGGCTGTACAGGACTTACAACTCTCTGCTCCTGACTTGAGAGCAGCTGGAACTGGACTGATGTGCTGTTGAGAGAGAACTGGCTACAGCTGTCCTGCGAGGGTGTCTGCTAGGAATGGTCTTAAAAAAACGATTCTGTTTTGGGAAAAAGTTTAATCTTGATTAAATTTGGCTGCATTCCTGCCAAAGTGGAGCAGAACACAAACAGGTAGAAATTCTGCAAAAGGGAGTTAGTGCAGCAGCTCGCGCTGTGGGTTGTCTCAAGAGCTGGTCTCTGAAGCACTTCACTGGGTTTCATGGGCTCTCCATCTGTGGATGCTCTGGTGTTTCCTCCCTGAGATGGTCCAACATGTGGCATACCCCAAACTGAGAGGTGTGGGAGCAGTGAAATCCCCTCTTGCTAAGCAGCCTGTTTGGCAGCAGGCTGCCCCAGGGCCCTGGAAACCTGAACGGTGGAGGAACCAGATGGGTGACCGGGCAGGAAACTCAGCAGGTTTCTGATGTTTGGAGCCCTGTGCGAGTTTCATGGGAACCTGGGCAAAATTGACTCACCTTGCTGAGATTTTGCTGAATTGGTGAATTCCTCTGAAATGCTGTTTTGCCCGAAACCTTCCGAGCAGGTGCAGTATCTCCAGCTATCTTTTGAAGACAGAGACAACGCGTTCCCCTGCGCTGGCAGCGTGGGTCTTCTGGGAGTCAAAGAAGCTCTTGCCTTTGCTGTTGAGCCCTCTGCCAGCATTCACACTCTTGAAGTGGTGTCTAGGAGGGAGGATACAGGAATTTGGCAGGGATGAGTAAAGGATGCTGACAGGTTATTCTGATCCTTAGAAAATCATTGTGTTCTCCTCATTACACTACACCTCATCCACCTACTCTGTCTTGTCCTATAGACTATAAATTCTCCATGTTAAATTAATTCCTCCAGTTCTCTATTTGTTTTCACAGCCTCTAGCTGAGTTTCCTAGGTGCTACCCTCATACAAACAATAATTAAGACGGCTCTGTCCTGCTGCAAACCACTTCTGAGGATGTTCCCTCTAATTCTCTTCCTTGTTTAGCGTTGTATCATTAAAAGGCATGAGGTGGTTAATTGGAGGCTTACAGCTTTTGTGACTGATGCAAACCAGTGTGTGTGTAATTGCTGCAAACGCTCAGGT